AAACTGAGGGCATTAATCTGAACACAAGGGACAGAATTCCTTTGGTGACACCAATACAGAAATCAGAAACACTGTGTTCTGATAAGAGATTTATATTAGGTTCATGTGTATCTTTTAGAACAGATGTTCTAGACATGTGGTCAAAGAGGCCTCCTTGAAGAGTTGCAGAAGACCTAACAAAAAATGTCTTGAGATGATATGAAAACATGTGTAGATGTATACATGTCTTTTCTGGAAATAAGGTCATAACTTTTATCAAAGGACTATGTAGGTGGTCCATATTTTTCGTGACCCAAAAAAGGTTCTGAAAAACTAATATAGAAAGTCAATGCATTCAGTAAGTGAACAGCACACTGACGACTTTGATTATTTTTTAAGTACATCAATTCTATTAATGAACTATTGCCAGCTCAAACTTGAATAAGTACTTATTACACACGTGGCTTTAATGCATATCTGTAGTATTTCCTCTTTACAATGGAGACTTTAAAGTACAATAAACAATAATTTGCTGCAAAGGAGTGATTGAAAGGGCCAGAGTTCTTAATTCTTATGCTAAGTATAATACATACTTATTCACTGCCTCAAACAGTTTACTACCAAAACTCAAACTGTTTGCAAGAAAAGGTAAAAGTAATTCTGGATAATATGCATTGAATCTGTTGCTACTTTTTGTTATTTGTTTAGCTACAATGTGATTTATGTTTATGGCATCCCCTATATTGTATTAATGCAATAAAGTGAGAAAAAATTGTTAGACAATAAATTCAGAAGCCAAACTATGAAACTTTTAATCTTCCCCTATAAAGGAGTTTCAAATAAATTTGTATTCTCTTACAGCTATGACTTCACCTATATATAAATGTTCCAAATGTTTACTGATTCATTTAACAAATATTTATTAAGTGCCAGGCACTGTGTTAAGCTCTGGAGCCATAAGCCACTGATTCATAGAGTTCTAGTTATACAATGACTTTCTAATGCCATTTGCAAAATCTAAGACTTCTAATTGCTACATTAGAAAACTATGATATAGTTATAAGCTACAGCCATGTGACTCTTCAATTCATAGAAACTATTAAATATGCCACTAAAGTCAAGTAAGAATCACAACCACATATTATGTGTATGATGGTAGAAAAGAAGCATTATTTATAGCTGTAATTAGTACTGTTTAGACAAATTTTGTTTCACCCTCACTTGGCTGAAAGCTACCATGATATCTAGTCTAAACTACAGTTACACTTAATTTTTATCTAACATTAAAACTATGTATAAAATTGTGCTTCCTAATTCCTCCTCAGATAAGGCTTCAGTCTTAAGAGGCAAGGAAGTCTAATGTTCAAAAATGGAAAACTGTATCCTTCCCACACAACCCAGCAGACTTCTATGTAAGTTCCCAGCATTAGTACCGAGTTTTAAGATCTGATTAACCTAAAGCCAAAAGTAAAAATATGTGACAGTTAATAAAAATCACAGAATTTAAGAACTAAATAGATTATCTAATTTTAATTCCTCATAAAGATGAAGAAACTGTGATCAGGAAAAGTTTATTGTTCAAGGTCACCCAAGTTAAGGAAACAGCTTTGGTTAGAGTTTTCTAAATCCTAATCCAGTGCTCTTTTTAATACATAAAAGAAACTGTTGTTAAGAAATTAGAAAAAAATTCTGAAAAAGAAAAATTACCTTTAATTACAAACATGAGTGAACCATAACTCAGATGCACTTAATAAAGTCTAAATTAAAACTATATTTTATTTAAAAAAATAAGAAGTAAAGAAAGTCAAAGCTGAAAAATAATAGATCACTCTTCTGGGATATGGCCTTCATGCAGGTCGATCCAGTTATAATCAACTTTAAGAGCCTGTTCCAATTATATTTTAGTTCTGGAATTATTTCATATTGAATAATACTCAAAATTAGCAGTGTGCTGGCTAGGGAATAGACATCTCTTTGAGATTTCTGTTGTAATGGGTTTTGACCAGCAACAGTATATTAAAGCAAGACTTCAAACTTTCACCTTCACTTCCTATATTTCCAGTTTTGGCCTCTTCTCTCCCTACCTGTACAAAGTAATAAAGACTAGAATTTCCATTTCAATTTCATCTTTATTTTTCAAAATTTAAACAGTTTGTTTCATTACTGTTGAGGTTAATTTCTTCAACATAACTATACATCTAAGAGCAAAATCCTATTAGAGAAATTAATGATGATAAAGATTTTGCTAAATCCAAGATATAAAAAATGTATACACTGGAAGATTCACTTTCATAACTTTAAAAACTCAGTGGTGCTTGAGTGGTCAAGAAACTGTGGAATACTACTCTAGCCAATTCATTTTTCAAATTAAAATGAGTTTACAAGCCCTAGATAAGAAAGATGAGAGTTTCTTTGGGCTTTTACCTCTACTCGGTAGTAAGAATAAAAGAAATCTGTTGTATATTTATTGGACTTGAATTCTGGTTCAGCTGGATGTATAAGTAAAATAAAGAGATGAGAACAACAGATCAGCATGGTTATTTCTCAAACATAAAGTGTATTTGTGAGTCCCATGAAAGTAAAAAATAGTTACATGAAACATAGGACATATTTTAAAGTTTGAAAAGTCTTTTGTATTAGAAAAACATAAATCTATATTAATACAAATACAAGAATTTCCATATTGAACATAATGAAGGCATACATGATGTTTACTAAATGCTAGCCATAGTTTTAAGTACATTTCATATCCCAATCTATTTAATTCTCACAATAACCTTTTCAGGTGGGTACTACTGTTATCCCCATTTTACAAACAAGGAAGCTAAGGCACACAGCTAATCAGTGGCAAAGCCAGATTTTAAACTCAGTCTGACCCCAGACAGAATTTGTTGTTTCAGCACTGTACCATAATGATTGACTTCTTAAAAACTGTCAGCTTTGTGGAATTTATCTTTAAATCATTTGTTATCAAAATTTAAAGGTACTTATATTTCAGTTAAACAAGCTCATTATGAAACCCTTTAATTCTTGACTGTCATATCTTGAAGAATACACTGTTAACTAATGTTGCTTCTATAAACATTTAGCCTCCTCTCTATTTGGCAAACCCATGTTTCAAGAACTATGCTGGATACTTTTACACATTGAACTTTTTCCAGAGGAGAACATCATTACAGATAATCTAAATAACCTCCCTAGCCCACCTGTGATATGTACTGTACAGCAATGAAAAAGTTCTGCCTCGCACAAGAACTTGTGGTTGAGGTTTTCCCTCAAGATCATATACAATTCAACAGACAAACCTTGTCGGTTCTGCAGCCTGAATCTCTCCCAATTATAATCTTTCTTTTCAACTCTACTGTAATGACCACAATCAAGGCTTCAGCACTTCACATCTCCTTCCAGCCTCAGACTCCTCCAGTACCCTTTACTGTGGCAGCGCAGGGGCATGTGGGGCCAAGGGGCATACTGAGAGGAGTGGTTGGGGCCTCTATGCATTAAGCTTCACTAGACCCTCATGTCACCACAAATGGACATAAAATCTACTTTTTAAAAAAGTGTATTTGCTATTTAAATACAGCTTCAAAACAAAAATACCTTCCACTGTCTAATCAAGTTGTCATACCAGCCTCTCTCGCAGAAACATCTGGAAAACCAGCACTGACCTCCTATAATACTAAATCAATAATCTTTGTAAAATGCAAATGAAGTCATATTATTCCCATTCATCTCCCCAAGATTTAAATTCCTTAGAATATTATATAAAGTGCTTCATGATTTGGCTACCCGTCCTTCCTTACCTCATCTATTTTCCCCTGCCCATCCAAACAAGCCATATGAATAACTATTTCTCTGAACATTCCTTGCTCTTTCAGGCCTTCATGTTTTCCCATGCTATTCCTTTTGTTAGAAATGGCATCCCCACCACCCTGCTTAGAAACCCAACTAACCGGTGCTCCCAGTCTGAGATTCAGCTCAAGCACCATATCCTCCATAAAGCCCTCCTTAAACTTCAGAGATCTTCCCTTCCTTTCAACATTTCTTTCCCTTAAAGAAAAGATCTAGGACCAACCTCCTCTGAATTACCATAACACACCAAGTATAAATACCTCTAGTCTAGTCAGGTCAACATAATTCAATGGTCCTCTCACAGTTTCATTTCCATCTTGTACTTGTTGAAAAAACTCAGCTTTACCTTATTTATCACTGTATCCTCACTGCTTAACACAATGCCTGGCACTCATAGTTAACATTTATTGAGTTGGAATTAAACTCTCTATACAATGTAGTAACAGATATGTACACTAATGGGAAAATGTAAACAATATTGATAATCATGTTCACAGAAATAAAATACTTAACCATTGTGGTTTTCTTAATAAAATTAAAATATTAAGCTTATGATATAGACCTATAAAATTTGGGACTTTCATGCCTCACTTGTTTAAATTCCTAAAATCACATTTTTAAAACGTGCAGTGATTCTAATTTAAAAACCCACTGATGCATATTACTTCTGTTTATTTGGTTATTGTTAAGTAGAAATTTTTTTCTTTTTAACTACAATAAATTGGTAACTTAATTATGCTAACATTGTTCATTTTCATTTTTTCCTAAAGGAATGGCCACATGTGGAATGAAAAGCATTTTCATTGTTCTTGACGAATGTCCTATTTTGTGTGATTTGGGGCAGTTTCTCACTCAGACAGCCAGCCTCTTATGAACGTTATGATTTGCAGATGTGTAGTGTGCATTAAAGAACAAGAAGATATCATGAAATATTAGTGACAATTATACACTGGGCAAGGAAACTGGACAATGTTCCAAAGGTTGTAAGGATTATGGAAATGAATGTTACTCAAAGCAGAGTGGTGATTTATAACCAATTTCCGTCTTCAAATTAGGGCTCAAGTAAAAGAAAACGAAATTTAGCAAAGTATGATGGTGTATCATTTCCTGCAGCAGAAACACCCAGTTGGCCCGGTGCCTTCACTATGTACAGTACAACAAACAGCAACCTGAGGGAAGCCCACAGGCTCGAAGGGCTACTGGCTGGCTCTTTGTCACCAAATGCAGCAGGTTGAATGCAGACATCACTGTGATATCTTCACCAACAAAACGAGAAGCAAAGAACAGGGGCAAGAGCTGAGTAGGAGAAAAAACAAAAACAAGAAAAAACAAATTAAAACATCACAAATATTGAACACATTCATTGCACAACTGATGGCTACAGTTTTGTCTGGAACTGAACACATGCACATATTGCTAATAAATTTCAAATGCCTATTTTTCAGCCAGTGAGCTTACTTTCAACCTAGCTTTATTTGTATCTTGGAGATAAAATACACACTATGTAATAGCAGTGTAATCCGCGAACACAGTTTGCAAGAGGTTGAGAAAAAAGAGGAAGTTTAAAACAGTTGAAAGGAATTAGCATTTACTGAGTTTGTACCATGTGACAGGAACTGTCTGGAGCCTAATACACACATTGTATCATTTAATTCTTACAATAAACCGAGGAGGTAGGTTTTACACCCCAATACATATGTGAGGAAACTGTGACTCAAAGGTCCAAGGGCACAAAGCAAATAACCAGTGGAAAAAGGACTAGAAAACCATAGACTGCAGAGTCATGTTCTTTCTTTACACCATGCTGCCTTCTAGCAATTATTGGCAAATCTCCCTCCCTGGAGAAGGCTATAAAATATCATAAGATTAAGAGATACATTTTGTTAGAATTTCATTTTGTAAAACAGAGAGCCAGAAAACCTAAGGACAGTTAACAGACTTCACTTTCAAAACAGCATTAAGTTTTAATAAAGCATGGCAAATATGAATTTTTATTTAATTGTATGATTTATAACTTCTAGGTCAATTCTGTGAATAATATTCATGATTTAGTAATAAAAAGTATAAAATGCTTTTTAATGTATTTGGAAATGAATTAATTTTGTATTTGGAAATGAATTACATGGAAGAATCTAAAAATTGTGTAGATATTAAACTTCAGAGAAAGTTCAATTCTTAGGATTTTCTTAAAAGTTTTGTACAATATTTCAATTGATAAAGATTAACTTTAAATGGAAATGGAAAATATTAGATTAATAAACTTCATATTTGTTATTTCAAATTATCATTTTAAGTGACTTTAACCATTAAATGTCCAAAAATTGATATAAAATTAATGTCTTATTCATCTCTTGAACACTTCCCCTGCTCCCCACCCCAAAATGAAAGTCTGTTCCAGACTCTTCCGACCTCCTTGAAGAACAAATGTATAATAAACAGCAATATATTTTACTAAATCACTCTGGAGTGTATCTGACAGAAATCTGCTTGTATTAACATGCCTGAACTCTGACTTCCCCAAACTAAACTCACAAGACTAAAACATTTTTGTGTTACTAACTGGAGACAAAGGGGAGGAAAAAGGAAGGTAAGTATCACAATGCACAGCCTGAAAGAACCATTAAACATAAATAAACATGTCATTTTCACGAGTGACTCCAGAGCAGGGAAAAGAGAGCATTCCTTTGGAGCAGACTACCACACCGACTAATAAAAGATCAAAGGTCTATACCTCACAACACTATAAATAAAAATGTATTTTTTCCTTGTGACCCTTCTCTGTGAGAAATAAAGTGCACACGGTAAATGTAATTACTTAGCAAAGCTGCAGCCTCACTGTGCTTCCATAGTTGACCATAAAACGTCTTCCTTATTCTGTTTCATCAACTCCTGTACCAGGCAGCCTGGGCGCCTACTGACCACTGTGGCCATCTGGCTTGTGTCAAAGCCAGCGCTCAGGAAGAGAGGCAGTGATGTCACTCTGCAGGTCAGGGAAAGAACAAAGATGCATTCTACAATTAAAAGCTGAGGGCCACAAATACCGGGAGCCCTGCAGCATGACATGACTGTGTGATTTAATATTCTGAGCTGCCTGTATTTCTACCCAAATAGCCAGGGCTCCATCTAGTGGCAAATTAGTTTTGCCCAGTTTTTTAAAAACAGAAGACCCAAACAGTGTAACATTAGCGCCAACAAAATGGGGCATTGACAATGACTGCTTTCAGAGCAGTCTAGTTTTTATACTGAAGCACGAAAAGCACAATTTTTCACACTGTTCTCCATTTTCTAATCCTACAAGGAATGCATTTCATAGGTTAGGATTTGATATTATCCGAATTATTTTAATGCTTGCATGGATAGTAGAAAAGGAGTGAAGTTTGCAAAATGCATGCAAAGTGGCAGTTACTCATAAACCACTCTGAAAATATATAGCTGAGATGTAAAGTGAAAAACAGTCCAAAAAACAGATGTATGCATCTTGATGCCTTGGTTAAATCAAACTCATAATCTTACACTTCCACAGAACAAAAGAATCATAGTTAATATGGCTCTAACATGTATTTTTATGCTGAAGTGGTTTAACAAAATTATTTTTAGCTCATGTTTTCCACCTCATTAATGTTTACGCTTTAACAAACAGAGCTAAAATACATATGTTACTGTGTAAGATGGGATATCACAAGAGATGCGTGTGATCCATGGACACAGACTGTCTGGGTTTGAATGCTGGTCTTGCCCTTAACCAATTCTTAACCTTGGACAACCTGCTTACCCTCTCCAGGCCTCAGCTTCCTCACTTATATGATAATTATTAAATAAGTTAGTTGGTAAAAAGTACTTAGTACAACTCTTGGCACATAGTATATGCTCAGGAAATGTTAGTTACTATTATTATTTAACATGCCAAATATTTGCTACAGTTTTAACTGTATGAATTAGAAAATTTTAACAGTCCATTTATATCTACCTTACTTAGAGTTAGCAAGCTATTCTCCAAAGAATCCTATTTAGGCCAGAAAACTACTACTTGGTAGATTTCCACAGTAAATTATCCTAAAGAAAACAATAGAACAGAGAAATACTAAAGACAGCAGTTGGCTGTGCACAGAGCATATGCCATGCACAACTCTAAGCACTTTACATTTATTAGCCTTCTAATCCTCACAACCTCATGAGGCATATACTATCATTTTCCCATTTTTAGATATAGAGACTGAGGCATAGGCAGGTTAAGTAATCGGCCTAAAGTGTTACAGTTAGTAAGGGACAGGGACCTTAAGTAATTGGGTAATCTAATTTACACATGTAAACTCGGGCCATTTAGCTCCAATGCCAGTGCTCTTAACCACTACACAACTGACAATGAAAAGCCTCAGGATGCACTAGCCAACTCTAGATATTCCGATTCTATGTTTCCCTACTAGGTAGTATGATAAACATGTAATAAGGAAACTTAATTCAAAAAGATTACTTGATGGCTAGGTGAAGTAGCTCACGCCTGTAATCCCAGCACTTTGGGAGGCCAAGGTGGGCAGATTACTTGAGGTCAGGAGATCCAGACCAACCTGACCAACATGGAGAAACAAAAAATACAAAAATTAACTAGGCGTGGTGGCGGGCACCTGTAAACCCAGCTACTCGAGAGGCTGAGGCAGGAGAATCACTTGAACCTGGGAGGCAGATGTTGCAGTGAGCTGAGATTGTGCCACCACACTCCAGCCTGGGCAACAGAGCAAGACTCTGTCTCAGAAAAAAAAAAAAAAAAAAAAAAAAAAGGTTACTTAGAGATTCTCTCCCTTGACACTGAGAGGAAAAAACAGGGAGATAAAGAGGTGAAAAGTCTGAGACATTCTCAGATTTCTAGATTTGATCTTTCTAGTTCCACCACATGCAACTCCAACTTACAACTAACTGTCCTTTATAGTTATTAAGGGACAGGGTCTTTAAATAATTGGGTAATCTAATTTATACCTATGAACTCAGGGCATTTAGCTCCAATGCCAGTGCTGCTGACCACTATACAACTGGCAATAAAAAGCCTCAGGATGCACCAACCAACTCTAGGTATTCTATCTTTCCCTACTAGGTAGTGTGATAAACATGTAATATGGAAACTTAATTCAAGAAGAATTCACCTTCAAATTTTTTCTCTAAATTCCTTGGATATACCTTCAGAATCTGTAAAGCTAACTCCACATTAATCTACCAAAACTTCAGTATGTTGATAATATTGTACTTTTGAGGACCAAACAAACAGCTACTTCCACTCCCAGACCCCCTAAATTCAATCAATTTGTTAGCTTTCTTCCATTTGTACTCCCTGAATTGCCTGAGTGAAGACCATTGCCAGAAACAACCCTAGTCCAAAAAGAGGCAAAAGCTTAGCATTAAACACCCTGCAGAAATCAGTATTGAGCAAGGATCACCAGAAAATCTATAATTCTCCCAGCTTATTCCCAACTTCCTCACTTTTGCATTGACTTTTATTCAATTAACTACATGGATGAATAACATTTACAGATAATCCACCTGCCTTGGCCTCCCAAAGTGCTGGGATTACAGGCATAAGCCACCACACCCGGCCTAAGCAACATGTTATTTTTTAAAAAGCCAGATAAGATGTCTCATGAATCTTCCTAATCTCCCAAAATATCTGGTAGATAATTTTGAAAATAGTGGGTGTTACTGAACCATACCTAATGAGCAGTATCACATCATGTGTTAAGAACAGAATTAGATTCCATAATTGTCCATAATTTCCTGCTTAAAACATTTTGATGATTCCCCATTGTATATCACAGGGTTCTCCAAACCATATTCTGAGAAACACAAGATAGCCCTTCAAACAAGTTAAGTGATCAAACAGTCATGGAAATTCTAACCAATATAAAGGGTCTGAGAAGTCTTCAGCAAACATACCTGCTTAACTTTGTCTCAATTGGTGCCTCTGAAATGTTTTTGATCATACAAAACCCCTTTCTGTCCTATCACCCAAACCCCAGGAGAAGGAGTGGCATTCTGGTAAATTCTTCTGAGAAAGCCCAAATTCCTAAACAAATCACCTAAAGTATCTAAAGGTCTGCATTCAGCTGCTGCCAAACTCTTCAGCCTTTTCTCTTGCCACACCTCCACAACCCACTGCACCCCACACTCCTGCCATATCAACATGGTGGTAATTTTCCTGATAGGTCAGCTGTTTCCTATTTCCACCTCCATGTCTTCATTCCAGATCCTTACTATCTTTGCCACCACTCCCAACCCCCACCATTCCTAATGCCTCCGATTCTAGTCCACAG